CACTCACCGACATATCTTTGCACGCTCCGATACAGTCCTCTCCAGTGAAAATGATCCCGGATCCGTTCGTAAGTACGGCCGATCCCCTTCTGTACACCTTGGAGGCGGGTATGATAGTGGTGTAGAACATCTTGATGCAACGTTTCGGGTAGCACCAGTCGCATCGGTTTGTCCCGATCCGCAGCTGATTATTTCGTAGTAAGGCAATAGAAAAGGAGATCATGCTGATCCACTTCAAAATTCATGGCGATGGATCCGCAAGATCTGGCTTCTTCCTGTGTCAGATCGCGCACTTCACGGGTCTGATACTTCTTCAAACCGTGGATACACACCTCCTCGTCCTGTGCCTGCCGGATACGCTATTCTGAGCTCCCTGATCACTTCCTCGCACAGTGCCGGGGAGGGGGTTGGATCCCGATCTCACGCCAGGTCTAGCCTTCGATCTAGTTGTAACGGCTGAGATCTGTACTGTCGGATCCTCAGATTACATCACAAATATCTCGTCTCGTCGGTTCAACGTGCTCAGCTCCTGGATTTCGCTATTGATCTCGACTCCACGTTGTCGTTGCAATAAAGCACTAGCCAGACTATCTGCGCTTCCGTTCCAATCCCGTTTTACATCTACCAACTCATTATCCGGCTGGATCCACTCTCTGTCCAACGCCATCTGTCTTAGTAATGTCAGTCCAGGCGCCTTGCACTCGATCTCACCTCTAACTTAGCGGATCCCCAAGTTTGAGTAACCACGGATCACCAGTCGTAACGGATCCGTCCCTTCTAGCAAGTCAAGGCATAACAAAAGGTCATGATATTTGGCATCATTGACAGTTAAACCTTCGACAAAGCCGGATCTGTCCTTCACCACTGTCCACTCAGGTAATTTCCCCAGGATCGTTCTCAAAGTGCCGCACCTCGCTTGACACGGACGGATCCGTCGAAGCTAGCGACATACAGATCCTCATCTGGTCTCACTGTCGGGGTTGGGGCTTCGATCTTGCGTCTCGGCTCCTTCTTCGGGGCGATCGAGATCAGCGCTTCGTCGAGTTCAGATCTGGGAGTGATACTGGCATCTAATATGTCCAGGATCTTATCCTCGCCCTTGCACACTTGACGATCTCGAGGATCCAGGGTGAAAGTAGCGCGGCCTACTGTCCCAGGCGACCTTGTAATACATTGGATCTAAACAATCAAGCCAGTGTGGAATGTCGCGTCAGCACTCGGGTCGGCCTTCCAAACAACGTATTATAGTTGAGATCCAGGATCCGCAACAATGCCAACACCTCTTTCTCCGCGATTCCGTAGTTTAACTCGGTGGATTTCAACGTAGGGCTCGCGAACATCACTGGATAGTAGGTCTGAGCATACTCCTGCATCAATTGCACCGGAGATTGCCCAATCACAGGCATATACAACCACCATAGCTTGTCGATCCTGATCAAAGTGACGTAGGATCGGCGATCTTCTCATTTACCATCTTGAACGATCTGTGAGCATGGATCCACCGGGGATCCAGACCTGCGAAATTATCCTTCTCGGGGTCCGACACCTTCGCGCGGTCAAGCGTCGGATCCCATGACACCAGGTTCGGATCTGGCTGGCTAGGTTCGAGATCTGGACTCCGCAGATCCGAATCCGGGGGTTGCGAACTTGTCGGATCCTGAGTCAGTATCTCCGGCTCTGGAGGTTTCGAGGTTAGTGCTAGCTGGTTCCAGCTTCGATTCACGCCCTTCTCCATCGTAGCATAGGCGATCTCCCTCAGCTGGTATAGTACAGACGCGTAGAGCGCATGATTCTCGATGAAGCGACTATAATAGTTCAGGCTGCCCAAAAACGTTTGCATATCACGCAGGAACCCAGGAAACTCGAGATCCGTAAACGCCGACAGATCCTTCGGATTCGTCTCCAGCTCATCGTGCGATACGTTGTGACGAAGATATTCCGCCTTGGGCATGCCTCAGAAACACTTGACAACGCTGATTGACAAGTTCCATTTGTTGCACGCCTCCAGGAGATATTCGACACGGTCACATAGTTGATCCCAATTACTCGCTGATACTAAGGTGTCATCGATGTAGGATATGCGTCCTAACACCGATGGTTTGCCCGGATCCTCAGGTTCTCCGGCCTCGAATACATCCAGACGCTCCAAATCTCCTGCCATTTTCGTGATCCGGGTGAAGGCATAAATGATCATCCACTGGCAGACTTGCGGCGCATCCGCAAGCCCAAAAAGCATCCGTGGGAGGAGCCCGGCCGATTGCGCTTAAGTGCCGTAAGCTGCGGATCCAATTCCGAGAAAAGTTGGCAGAGCTGATCAAGGGTCTCCTGTCGGCGAAGATGATCAACCACTAAAGTTCACCACGGACATCACCGATCGTCGTGATTATCAAGAAGAATGGTGTAGATATACGTTTATGTATTGATTATCGGTTGGTTAACAATCTGACACAGCTGATGGTCTACCGGATACCTCTGGTCAACGATCTAGTGGAGGAACTGGAATCTACACTTTGGTATTGCTCACTGGATATGGCGAGTGAGATTTGGGAGGTGAAGATCACGGATCGGGCCCGCTTGAGATCGACCTTTATCATCCCATTTGGGCTTTCCAGTGGAATCATCAATATCACACACAACCCCTCGGGCTGCCGGCGGGAGCGCATTTCCCTTGTCGATCAGGAGATGTCAGAAATTCCAGATCCGCTGACGAGTCGGTCGATTTCTTCTGGCGTCTGATTATCAGATCCGCACAATTGGATGTCCTACATGGGTTTCAGAGATGACCCGGACTCAGGGTGAAAATAGAGATATGACTTCGTGATCCCAGACATGATTTGCCAACTTGAATGAAAATCTGCAATGACTAGTCAATGCTAGGAGGGGCGGTTGACAGCCATGGC